TGCAGATGATTTAAAAAATAGGTGAATTAAAAGCAAGTTGAAAAAGACGTTTTTGAGAAAGTTATTGAAGGTCAAATCTCAAATCTAAAGTCAGATTTAAGCTTCTTAGAACTTAGATGATAATTCATAAAAATTGGTCAATTTGAAGCAAGTTGAAAATACTTTTTGACCTTGGTTTCCTAAAAAAGCACTATATCAATGATTTTTGACAAAATTGGGTCAAATTAAAGTTGAAAATATCTTTTCGACCTTTTTATCTTGAGAAGGTCATTGCAGGTCAAAACACAAATCTAAAGTCATATTTGGACTTCTAAGAACTTTAGCTTGTAGATGATTTTGAAAAAATTGGTCAATTTGAAGCAAGTTGAAAAATACTTTTTTTCACCTTGTTTTGTTTAGAAGCATATCGATTCAGAAATAATTCTAGAAGAAAAAAAGAAGTTTGACATCCTTAGCTCCCCTATTGAGCTACGTGTTAAAGCCTCTTTACGTTTGAATTTTTATTTACTTAACCGGCGATGAAATAACTTATAATATTGATGAAAACGTATCTTGACTTTATTTCCAATACCTCCAAATTTTTTCAATTTTTTCCTTAATTACAATAGGTCGAAATTTGATAGTAAATTTAATGAATTTTTGAAAATCGTCATTCCCATGTAATCCAAAGGGAAATGTAGGGTTCGGGGCAAATCAGAAATCATGATATCTTTTCAGTAAAAGATTCAGCAAAAAAATATTTTTATATAGAAAATTGAATTGTCTCTAACTTTTTGGTGGACTAAGTGTTTAGTTTATTTGATGAATACTAAAGTTACAGCACTTCAAAGTCATGTTTGAAAATAATTTTTCGCCACCTTTGTTATTTCAATGGGAGAGTTTTTATGAAAAACAATTTTGACTTTAAAGCCCTATAACTTTGTTGAACCTGAAGAAACATATCAATTTTTTGTTAAATCAAGTTAGCAAATTCAATTGCCTGCCTAATTCTTATTTTTTGCAAGGACTCGGATGGATAAATTTTCTGTGATATGACTTGCAGCAAACCTACCATTTCCCATTGGTTAACATGGGAATGTCGATTTTCAAAAATTCATCAAATTTATCATCAATTTTTGACTTATTGTAATTGAGGAAAAAATTGAGAAAATTTGAAGGTATTGGAAATAAAATCAAATTACGTTTCCATTTAGTAGTATAAGTATTTTCATCGCAGATTAAGTAAATAAAAATCAAATGTAAAGAGGCTTTAACACGTAGTTCAATGGGGGAGCTAAGGTTGCATAACTTATGGAGGGGAGTGTAACTATACCGTGAGTCTATTCATTTATCAATTCAATCAATAGTAAACTTTCTCCTGAAAAAAGAAATGTTTCTAATTTGTTGAATTTTCTAGCTGAAATCGCCTGCTCCCCCTCCATTCAATTTGTCCGACCAACGGTCGCTGGAATTATCGAAAGTAATTCGATTGAGATTCGATTCGATTGAGAATACATGGAATAGCTACATTGTGAGTGCGAAGAAAATAAATTTAGATTAGTGTTTTGATGGATTTCATAATTCAAGTTCAGTCATCCTTGTGTTGGCGGTAGATCTTCGATAATAATTGTTCAGTATCAAGCGGAAGTTACGGTTCTTACATTCGCATTTAAACGGAAAGAGTCGATTTCGATATTATCAGTTTTCATCGAATTAAACTATTTTATAGTTGAAATTATGCTTTGATATTATTTGAACTAGATCAGGCTTATTACATGACGTAGAAACTCTGGAGTATGATCATTTGTTCATATACGATGCGTAAAAAAATCTTGCATGATCACTGAATAACGTTGATGTTTTGCTCTCATTATGACATGTATATGAAAGCATTAAGGATATTTTGGAACAGAAACGGAATGCGATCAAATTAGTAGCAAATTTTGCCTCTAATTGATTATAAAGAGTTATTAATATGTATCTTGTAGTTTACTTTTGAACATTACTAGGATTGCTGATTGTTCAAACAAATGTATATAATATGTTGATTCATTTATTCTAGATACAATAGTATTTTAAGATGACCTTCTGTATTAATGTATAAATTGGGCAATAGTTGTTAGACAGGGTGAGTCAAAAAACGTAACACAAACAAATGTTAATAACTCAGTCATCCACCATGAATTTAGGCCTTAGTCATGATCCATACAGTTAGTTTCAGTATTTTGGTGTGTCTAGAATTAGTAGTAGTAGTAGTTATTCCTCGCTATCAATTCGAATGAAACATGACAGAACATGATGCCCGACTGCTATCGTCTTAACGTAGCACGTCACTTACTAGTAGGATCGAAGTGCGAAGTGCGTTTCATCCATCCGAATATGGAGTAAGACCGTTCTGTCATGTTTCCAAGAACGTGAGTGAAGGTGAAAACTACCTTCGTGTGGTGTATCTCAGTAATCTGGGTTATGAAAACTTTCCGTCTTTCCTTTCATCATCTAAATCCATGTCACATGGTATCCGAAAGAAGGAACATCACGTAAATCCACAATTACTGTTTTTAAACAATAAAAGCTTGCACAAATTTATCCAACAACAAGCCCTTTTACAAGACACAGTTTCCTGAGGTCATATCGACGCTACAATTACGAAATGTTTTGGAGTGGTCCATCTTCAGTAGTTTTGAATTGAAGTTGATTTATTGAGTAAGTAAGCCGTTCCCCTGGCCGTTTCTTGGGTATCAAAGTGAGGATGTCGTATCCGATCAAATCTACACTGGTCGCAATAGTACGATGACGTTCAAAGCAAATCTCACTGAGATTATTTTGTCTGGCGTTAATGAGCACAGTGTTCCAGGGAAACCATTTTACCCTTTATATTTGTGCATCAGCAGACGGATTTTTCAAAGGAGTTGGACTACATGTATAAGCTTGCTTGATTTCTTTTTTTGTAGACATGTTTTGTTGCTTTTCCATCTTGCTAATTCATCAGATGGATCTGGAAATAAAAACTGAAATTAAAAAATTGATCATACACAGAGAATATAATCTTTATTGATAATGCACGCAAATGTCCTTTCGATTTTTACATAATTTCCTAAACATGACATAAACGGGGCATTTTATTTGCCAACTTTTTCTGATTTGCGGACAACTGGAATTGATGGTGCGTGCAAAGAGGTTACAGCAGATTTTACCTTATTTTCCTAAATATGACATAAATAGATTCATTTTCTTTCCAAAATTCTAAGCAAGTTTCGTAATTGCGGAAAACTTGAATCGGAAAAACACTTTTCGCATATAAAAACACATAATTGATATATAAAAGAACATATACAGAGACTATGATTGATGGTGCGTGCAAAGAGGATACTGTTTTTCCTTATTTGTCCATATATGACATATAAAAAGACATTTTCTTACCAAATTCAAAGCACGTAGAGATGAATATGAATCCAATATGGCGCCGTAGTGTTGTAACGATGTGACGTCACAGGAAATTTTTTGGTAGTTACAGCTGTGACGTTTTTCAATTATCGGAGACAGACATAGAACAATAGGAGACATGAGTTGCCATTCCCGTGGTTTAGTATTCCCAGTGTGATCCCAGACCATATAAAGTCCGCTCGATGAAGAAAAATACAAGGAGTTGGGCTTAGCAACTGCACATGCAATGAGATAGGACCATGCTCCATAAGAAATAAGAATATGAAAAAAAACCATAAACATCCTTAGCACACAGACGCTGAAAACTGAAAAATCATTCGGAAAAATGGACCAAAAATAACCCACAAAATTATTGATAAATTTTACAGATTGAATGCAATATTGATCAAATTTTGACATTTGTTCAACCATACCATGGTCCTAACATAGACGAAAGGATATCTTCCAAAACCAAAGGGACGCTGGTATAATTCAACGAACGCTTGCGGTAAGAAAACACGTGTACATATTTTGATCAACTTAAAGTGGATTTTTTATAAAGAATATCCAGAAATGTCCATATAATCTGATATCATTCTAAAGCTATTGATCCCAGGAATACAAATAATTAGTTCATTTGAATCTTACCTCAATACAACTGAAGATATTGGGAGAAATGTGCGGAGCGTGCACATTCCGGTTTCCATTTTAGGAAGTGTCGTGGCGTCTCATTTCTTGTTATATCCGGGTCAATACGTTGCATAGCAACTCTCATTGTACGTGCGTCTCTGACGTGAATATGATAGCTTTCGCGCACCACATAAAGTTTGCGCTTCTACAGCGTATTTAAGAACCTATAGATCATTTTCCAATGAGTAAGCTCTCAACCATTTCAAACTGGCAAGAGACATGGCCGAAAGGGTTCCGCGGAGTAATTCTTCCCCTGATTGGGATTTAACAATACGTAACCCTTGGGTAGTCGATCGTTACGCTAGAGCAGATACTTATTGTAGCCATTGTCGTAAAATGCAATATTGTTTTCAACCTTTGTACCTGTCATTCTGTCAATATCGTATCGACTCGGAAAATTGCGTTGAGCATTTAACATTAGAACGCCGAGCATCTCTGAAAATACTTCATACCCGGAGAAAGCACATTCATTAGTGTGAATTGACTCACATTATGCATTCGGATGTCATTGAATGTATACAAATGAATGAATGTGGATTTGTGTATGAAAAATAGCAGACGAACAACAACAACAATAACAACAACACCGTCGACGACAACAAACGTGCATAATTCAAATACTATTTAGCGTTGACCTACTAGAGGATTTAATCCACAATTGGGATAACGACAGTGAAAAAACTATTTCATTGGAAAGACAACAATGGTTATAGAATAGTCTAAATAATACTAATGGAAAACACAGTTACTTTTAAACACGGTGTATTTTATATGTGAGTCGTCTAAAGCGCTAGGCATTTAAAAATGGCGTCACTTTCGTTTTGATGAAGCATATTAACTTACCACTTATATATAGGACATTAATGCAATTGATTGATCTAGCATTGGTAAGAGATTGATAATACAACATGAAGTGGATAATTCTAACTTTATCTATACTATTAATGGGAAAGAGCCATTGTAATGGCCTATCGATAGGTGAGTGTACGTTGTGTTGTTTTAAAAGGGGTGTGATTGATATTTTGGATCTTGTTATTACTGCATTTGCATTCATCATGTTTTGCAATTGCTATTTAGATGTTTTCAGAGGTCCGGATTTGGACGACCCTATATCTGTCACTAGTTCTTGTTATATGTTTTAAGTATAAACGTGGGCTTTCAAGAGAAAATCATAAATGAATTTGAACTGATTTGTATTTTACACCTAGACCTCTATAGTCAAGGTCCATGCTTACACTCACAATGAAAACCTAAATACTATAGATAATAAGGAATAGCACACATCTTATATAACTAGTAGTGTAAGGATCATTCGTGCGTGCTTGAGTTTTGTCATGTTACATCCTTGAACCAGGGTCGCTGTTTCATGCTTACACATTCCCGGAATGAGCCCTACTCCTAGATATCTTTGCGGATCAAACGCCGATCATCAATTTGCATTGCAATGCATTTAAGACAAGACCGCCTGTGGTAATATAATTCGATATCATTAACTGCATGCTAATTTGGCCAAGTATAACACTATAATACAAGAAATACAATTTCATTATTACCTGGGCATATTTAATAATCAATGCATCCTTGTTGCGAAGACCCCTTATAATAAATACTATTTATATCAGATTCGTGTGATAAAATGTGAGGCATAGCTATTTGGATATTTGATTGTGATCCGTTTTCCCTCGCGTGTATTTATGAATAATAGACTAAAACGATACAAATTGCTTCCCTCATCGAGGTAATCAATTATTTAGGAAGCGATATATTGTTCTATGATTAAGTCATATCACCGTTTGAAGTACAAATAGCAAAATAGAGGGCTACCCAAGAGGGGGCAGTGAGGTCGCTTTTGTCACTTTTAAAATTTCAAAACTTTCACTTTGTCACATTTAAAATTTACTTGTCAGATTTTGTCAGTATCATTTTTTTAGTCAGTCAAAGTATTTAATGCAACAAATAGTCTGTTATGTTCCATTGTTTGATTACTGGTTAGAATAGGTCATCTTAACTTGCATCTATTTATATTCAGAATGAATAGTCTATTTTTGTCACTTTCAAAACACTTGTCAGCCAGATAAATGTACAAAATTGTCACTTGTAAGCATTTATTTATCAAATTTGTTCGTTTTTAAATATCCCAAAGTCCCATTTAGTCCCGTTTTAGAGGCCAGGTCACCTTATCACAAACCCCTTGGGGAGTCCCAAATTGTGTTAACCTCTTACATAATACCCTGGTTCTTTCATCTGCATCTACAATGCAAAATGCAAATGAACTCTCTATTACTCATGATTGATTTTTGTCCCCCTCTCGACTCTCGTCTTATATGCTAAGTAAAGAATAATATTTTATGTTATATGGTCAGAAATTGCTCAGACAACTGGTATGAGAAGTAGAAATTACATATTCGGCATCGGGACGGATTGTATACAGGTAGGTCTAGCTACAAGCCTCTGTGACCCCCTCCCCTCTACTTGACTAAACACCTTCCCACACAGAGTGCGCAAGAGGTCTTGTAGATATAGGCTAGGATTGCATTTGCATCAACTCAATCCATCCCGATATTTCAGTGGTTGTAGCTGTACAGCGAAATGTTTTAAACGTGTAATTGTACCCCGGGAATTGTATGCACTTTGCATCACTTATCATTGCATGTTTATGTTTGGCGATTTAAAAAAATCATCAAATGTGTAAATTCATTCCCGAAATTTACTATGTAATTAAGAAACACGTCAATAAGTATTCAAAACATTTAAATTCTTTGATATGCTATCAAATGAAAATATCCGGTTGCCAAACTTATGGAGGAAGAGGCACATTGGCGGGTCCAGAAGCTAACAGGGGGGGGGGGGCACATTTCAAATCAGTAGAAAAGTTTCTGCCCAAAATAGACCCAAATAGGCCAAATAATGCCCAGAAAGGCCCACTGATTGAGGCCCCACAAATTTTTTCTTGGCCCACCTGGGGGAGGGGGCGGCCTCCTGGATCCGCCTTTAGATTTATCCTGATATGACTCTTTATGAACCTACGGCATAATAAAAGAGTCACCTGTAGGGATGATATGGGGAATATTTCTCAAAAGATATTGTGGTTTTACCCATTTTAAACCCCTCTTTATCTTGGCATTATAGCCTGATAACATTAGATACTATCTTAGATACTACCGATGCACTTGTATGCGTTTATTTCAGATTGTACACTTGGAAAGGCAGATCTTATAATAGCCATAGACACGTCATCGAGTATGACACAAACGATATTCACGTTTGATGACGTCACGACATTTGTTAAGGAGCTTCTTGCAACGATAAACATCGGTCCTGATAACATCAGGGTTGGTTTGATTACGTACAGTGATAGCGTTGACGTCATTCTTAACCTCAACGACTACCGTTCTCTCAACCAACTGGAGGAAGTCGTCGATGACCTTAGGTAAATTTTAATCTTTAATTAACCTAATACTGATTTTAGGCAAAAACCATAGATCCCAATCGTGTCCCGTCCCCCTTTTATGACATAATATTTTGAACATTCAGTTTGGCCTAGAATGTTGTAAACACGTTGGACTATAAAATTATTATACCACTTCCAAGTTTGTAATTGTATAATATATAATTTCACTGTAAATATTCACAGCTTCTGCAAATACATTTATTTTCGCCGTGTATATCAAGATTTTAACCATGTTTTTAACAAAATAAGCATATTAGGTATTTGTCAATATCAATGCATATGTATCAATAATGTTGAGGATAAGGAACTTGACATTAGTATAATAAAACATGTCAATTAAACCCCATATCCAGTAGTAAGTAAAATAAATGCTCCAACTGTCAAAACTGGAGGACATTTTTATGGTTTTAGTCTCGGTGGAAGTTCAACTAATGCAAATTCGGCGATGACCCAAATCGAAAGAATGCTATCCAATCAGAGAGGTGATCGAAATGACGTACGCAATTACGTCATCATTATAACTGACGGGGAGTCACGTGACGGAAGTCCGATTGAGAAAGCTAGAGAAATAAGGCGCATGGGGACGACCATTATGGCGGTTGGACTCGGTGATGGAGTTAATGAGGGTCAACTACTTGCTATGGCTAGCCCACCAGATGATAGCCATGTTGTGAAGATCACATCTCTGGATAGATTGGACATCAAAAATCAAGAATTAAAATTTATCACAACTACGCTTTGCTCGGCACGTCAAGGTAATTTTTACATTTTGTTATAGAGGTACATAATCAAGGATTTTGGAATACTACCATGATTTTGATGGGTCTAAATGTACAAATGGACGTCATTGTCATTTTGATAACACGTGGTCTAAACCCTCGGGGTTACATACATAATAGTATCAGACTTTTATTGATAGGAAAAAATGCAATCAGTGATGACTACTCAATTTTATTTTAATGGTTGATAGTAAAATGATGTTTAGAAAAATACAGTCACAAAAGTAGACACGAAAACTGAATGCATATCAACGCCATACTGCACTCCATAGCCATATATGTTTGACCAGGCCTCTGCTTCCCATGTGTTTACCATCGTGTACTCTCCGTTGAAATACTTGGCAGGGTGGACATCAAGCGAACGGGTTGTTATGATATGTGGTTCAGAGTTAAAGTTGCATTCCTCACTGTCGTCTATCAAAGCGACTTCAAGAAAGATTGCTGAATTTTTCGGCATCAGTCCTGTCCATGTTCCTAATTATAAATGTGAAAACGTGGAGCAATATGAAAAAAAGTGAAATGTGAAAATACTTTTTTAGCTTTTACATGAAAACGGAAGGGGAAGAGAAAAATAAGTATCAACTCTTCGAGAATATTTATAACGCTTGGTCGTAACCACCAAAGCAGAAGAAAACAATTCCATTTTTACTTTTTTCATAGCCTATTATTTTAGGTGACCCTTGCCGAAACTTTTGCGGGATGACTAAAAATCCTTCAGCTTTAACCTTTTATTCTTACTATGAACATATTCATTTAAGGATAAAAATATCAAAATATAAATTTTGCCGCCAGCGATATATTAGGATTACATTTTGAAGAAAACGTCAATGCCATCGAGAGGCCTGTGAAACCGTGTCGTGACGCAATAATTACATATAAATAGGCCTATAACTTACCACCCGTTAGATTTGTATCCGCACCTGACGCAATGATATATCCAACGCCTTTGTATTTTGTATTTCGGTAATAGTTGACTTCTTGATAAGGTGTTGTTTTTGTAACCAATCTCAGATCAGCGTCCACAAGGTATCCCAAAAATGTTAAATCTCCGAAATGAACAGCCGATCCCATATATATTTGCTTATCCGTTAGTGTGCTTATATCGATGTTGAACCTCTCTTTGACATAAGTAACAAATTCTCTGCCTAAAAAGTGCAATGGATAAGTGTATCATCAACGTCAAAATTGTTCCAGCTCTGAGTTTGATGAATTCAGTTTTAAGAAACAATAATTCTTATTGTTACCTTTATTGACGACGTCTGCATAAGACAGTACATTTGGATCGACCTCTTTCCAGTGGTCCGTTAACCCTCCTTTTGGCGCAAGCTGAAATGCACTGCCTTTCAAATCCATAATCCCCGAATACGTCACCTTGGACGTGTAATTTCTCTGCGGTTTTCGACCACTCCTTGTTTTAGGTTTACATTTTTGACAACCCTTCTTTCCACAATCAATAGTTTGAATAAAACATAAAATAAAAATAAAAAATAGTTTCAGAAAGTTGAAACCCGTTGTTCTACTCATGACTGTACGTGACGGCTGATCCAGCAAACGATGACACATAATATCGATAACGCCATAAATAGTAGATATACAGGGTGTTAAAAAGTATGGAATACTTCAACCGATATATGTGCATTTTTAGATGATTTACTGCTTGTAATTTACCATTTTTCAGTGACAGGGTACTGAATAAAATATACACAATTTAAGTACTTGAAGAGATTGGACGTGACATAACACCTTTTCACTACATCAATTATATTCAGGAGGGACGATAGGCGATTGTTTTCCTTGACGATAAATTTTAACTCATAACGTTGTTTCAACTATTCTTAATTAACAAAAAACGACGTTGCTATATTTGTGAAAAATCAATTTGCATTAAAATTATCATGAATGGTTCACGGCAATTGTCTTCTACATACTTAAACTGCAACTGATTCTATGTTACGGTTTAAAAATATACTTTTTAGACACCCCCTATTATCAACAATCAGTGCAAACGAAACAGAACAAAGAAAAGTGCTAAATTATGTTACATCTAGCTAACGTGATGTCTTGCTGATTTGTGAATATAAAATCAGACAGACCAATTACATAAATTTTAATAAAGCCTTTTGATATAAAATATCCGTCGTAAAATAGGCATTTAAACACAGGTAAATAAATACAACGTACGTTTGCTCTTACAATTATTCAAATAAAGGTGAAAATAATGACAATTGAGTTGCTAAATGTAAATTATTTTAATACGTTATAACTTAATTAAAAATATCATTAAAACAGAATATTACCAAGTCGATCATATTGCATTGACAAACTTTTAAATGCGCGTAATTTACCAAACTAGTGAAGAAGCTGAAACTTTTGGACCGTGTGTAAAGATATGTGTGAAATAGGCCCCTCTTTATTTTGAAACCATTCAAACGCATTCCGAGTCAAAATTACAAAACATTGGATGTTGAAATTTGTCGGATAGCAAACTAAAATGGCTTTAACACCCCCCCCTCTTCTAGATTTACTTAGTTTTATATCAGACATTGAGCGTTTGGTGCCTCCCCTAATGCCTGACGATGTTTTTTGGCACGATCGAGAGTATCCAATACGCACACCGTACTATACAACGAAAGCTGTGACTTCCGGATAACCTGCTTTCTGGGATTAACCTGAAGTAGATTTAAAGACGAAAAGATTTGAACATTTTGCATCAATGTACCACTGTTTTATTGAAAGAAACAAATGCAACAATTAACATCCTCCGATCACAGGGCCTCAAAATCCAGAATATATTCTTTCTTTTTACCCCCTGCGATAATTAGTTAGCATTTCCCCGATTAAGAACTCGCAATCTGATTGGCTGTCGCAACACGGCGACAGAAATCTTGTATAAGTCATTGCGCATAATTAGATCAGGTGATTCAGTTTAATCGGGCGCTTCCAAATTGGTTATAGCAGGGGGAAGAAGGAGGTACGGATTCTGGATACTGCTTAGGAGGATGAACAATTAATAGCTACTTAATATTCTATTTTAAACGAAAAACAGTAAACTATTTCATCGGATGTTTAGAAAAAGACGGTAACAAAAGTAGAAATGAAAACTGAATGCATATCAACGCCATACTGCACTCCGTAGCCATATATGTTTGACCAGGCCTCCGCTTCCCATGTGTTTACCATCGTGTACTCTCCGTTGAAATACTTGGCAGGATGGACATCAAGCGAACGGGTTGTTATGATATGTGGTACAGAGTTAAAGTTGCATTCCTCACTGTCGTCTATCAAAGCGACTTCAAAGAAGATTGCTGAATTTTTCTTCATTAACCCAGCCCATGTTCCTAAAATGTTAAATCATGTGAATGATAACTTATTTAGCTACTACACGATTAAGAAAGAGGATGGGGAAAATTACGTAAGCATAAGCCCTTCGAGAATATTTATAACGCCTGGTCGTAACCACCAAAGCAGAAGACAAAACTTCCATTTTGAATTGTAAAGTACACTTTTCAACACCTTTCATAGCATATTAATCAATTAACCATTAAATTGACAATGTGTAAACTTTTCAGAATTTTTGATGACTGGTTTTAGAGAAACGTGTGTTCAAAAAGTTCGCCATATCGATACACATCCTTTCAGCACACATAACCTCGAGGCAATTTCCAACATTGGGAATGTTTTGTTTTTAAATTCCTTCAATAACAATAAAATCACAAGCAACTGAACCAAAGAAGTTATTAATGCGTTTTAATCAATTTGACGTCATAAAACCAAATTAAGAATTGCTGATTTTAACAATTTCATTTACTTATCACTTATTTGAACAATAATACTCCGTCAAAAGTAGGCCTATGGTATTTTTGAATAGTATATGGGTAATGATTTTTAAGACAGGTCCATTTTATTTTGCAAATATACTTGCTTTAGGTATCTAGTTATCAGGTTGTCATGATTAAATCATATAAATGTTAACGTCATATTCATTGAAACAATGTAGCAATTTGGTAAAACATTGGCCACTGTGGAGCATTTTGAAACTACTATACTGCCATTTAACCATTATTAAACATATAACTCAATAAAAATTGCCAATGTTGGCAATTGCCTCTGGATTATTTGTGCTAAATTTATTGACACATAGTATAGGGGAGAGTGTTCAAATCACGGGTCAAAGTTTTTATCAAAAACTTGTGTGAGGTACTACAGGGTGGGCCAAAAAAAACAATACCCAACTTTAAATCCGAATGAAAATAGCTATGTTCAACATCATACATTGATTTATATATCATTTTAAAGGTAATCCATTTTTGAACAATTTGGTATATAACACTATGTCATGAAATCAATATTAAAGTTTTATTATGCTTATTTGGGAGGCCGGGTCGGTATTTAAGGTATCCAGATTTTAGGGAGAAAATAGTAAATCTGCGGAATAATGTTAATTTTTTATTTATAGAATATCATTTTGTTAGGTGAAAAAATGCTTGTATATTCGCATATTGTATGACTATACTTATTGTTAATGAATTTTAGTGTTGTTTATTATCAATAAGTACTCAAAGGGGTCTGTTAAAAGACATTAAACGTATATGTGATGAGGATTATATTTTCAAACAAGATATTGCCTCATACCATAGATCTCAGGAGACATTGGCATTCCTTTGCAAACAAGGTGTCCATTTGATTGATTTCGATGCTTGGCCACCCAACAGTCCCGATGCCACATGTAATGTGTTTGATTACCATACATGGAGCCATCTCGAGGAAATGGTACAATCAAATGCATCAAATAAACAGCATTGATGAGCTTAAACAGAATCTTAAAGTGCTGAAATGAATAGCCACAGAAATCTCTCAATAAGGGTATTGATAGATTACGCTACCACTTGAAGCTTATTGTTGATGCATAGGGGAGGGGATGGGGGTATATTGAGCAATTGTTAAAATTGTTTAAATAAATAAAGTGTTAAATGTTATTTAACAGCACTGAATCATAAACAATAAGTTTAGCCACACAATATGCAAATATACAAGCATGTATTCACCTAACAAAATGGTATTCTATTAATAGAAAATTAACATTATTCCGCAGATTCACTATTTTCTCCCTTAAATCTGGAGACCTTAAATAGCAACCCGGCCTCCCAAATAAGTATAATAAAACTTTACTATTGATTTCATGACATAGTGTTATATACCAAATTGTTTGAAATTGTATAACCTTTAAAATGATATGTAAGTCAATGTACCATGATGAATGTAACTAATTTAATCCTGATTTGAAGTTGGGTATTGTTTTTTTTGGCCCACCCTGTATATATATGCTTTTGAAAAAAATTGAAAGAAAATTTGAATTTTTTTTTATTATTTTAGGAAAATTAGAAACCATCGAATATCACTTTTGAAACCATTGAATATCACTTTTTTAAATGAATATCGAATATCACTTTTGGAACCATTGAATATCACTTTTTTAAATGACTTACCACCTGTAAGATTTGTATCTGCATCCGCTACAACGATATATCCGACGCTTTTGAATTTTGGATTTCGGTAATAATTGACTTCTTGACAAGGTGTTGTTTTTGTAACCAATCTCATATCAGCGACTCCGAGGTATCCCCAAAATGTTAAATCTTCAAAATGAACGGCCGATCCCATGTATAATTGCTCGTCCGTTAGTGTGCTTATATTGATGTTAAACCTTTCCTTGACGTATGCAACAAATTCTCTTCCTTGAAAGTGCAATGCATAAGTATTTATTCATCAACGTCAATGTGTTTTCCCTTCTGGTTTTAAGAATTTAATTTCAAGAAACATTAGAGAGATTTTGCAACTCACTTGTAGCATGTTTATTATTCCCGTATAACTTCTGAAGCGTTTGCTTACATGTACGTCATCATTAATTGCGCAGCTCTATACGCCCATAAGTGTGATATTTTTACAATTGTCATTTGGACGTATTGAGCTGCGCAATAAATGATGACGTATTCAAACACTTGATAAATTATACGTTACACGGGAATAATAAACATGCTACAAGTGAGTTGCGAAATCTCTACTAATTCCAATTATTACCTTTATTGACGACGTCCGCATTAGACAGCACACCTGGATCGACCTCTTTCCAGTGGTTCGTTAACCCTCCTTCTGGCGCAACTCGATATACACTGCCCTTGAAATCCATAATTCTCGAATACGTCACCTTGGACGTGTAGTTTCCCTGCGGTTTTCGATCACTCCTTGTTTTAGGTCTACATTTTTGACAGGCCTTCTTCCCACAATCCATAGTTTGTATAAAACATAGAAGTAAAATTGTGGATAGTTTCAGAAAGTTGAAACCCGTTGCTCTATTCATGACTGCGCTGATCCAAGGAACATGGCTGATCCAGGGAACGCTTGCAGATAATTTCGATAACGCCATAAATAGTAGTAATATACAGGGTATTAAAAAGTATGGAATACTTCAACCGATATATGATTGTGCATTTTTAGATGACTTACTGCTTGTAATTTACCATTTTACAGTGACAGGGTACTGAAAAATATATACACAATTTAAATACTTGAAGAGATTAGACGCGACATGACATGTTTTTGACTACAAACTGCATACTTGTTTGCCAACTCTGTGTTATGGTTGGATAATATACTTTTTAGACACCCTTTGTTATGAACAATCAAACGAAACTAAACAAATCTTGTTACATCTAACTAACGTGATTTTTTGCTGATTTGTAAATATAAAACCGGACAGACCTTTTGACATTGAATAACGACTTTTGATTAAATCATCCTTCGTAAAATACGCATTTAAACACAAAGTCATATAAATAAATACAACGTTCGTTTGCTCTTACAATTATTCAAATAAGAAAATGAAAAATTTATATTTAATGTGCTAAACTTAAATAATTTTAAATATGTGAGTACTTAATTAAAAACACCACTAAAAGAATATTACACCGTCTATTCATTGACCAACTTTTAAATGCGCATATACGTAATCAAAATGATCTAAGAAACTGGAACTTTTGAACCGTTTGTAAAAATATGTGTAACATAGATCCGACTTATGTGATCCACCAGATCATTGATTGTTTATTTTTATACTTTATATTTTCAGCTTGTAATAATAACCTCGATCTGATTTTTGCATTAGACGGTCATTCCTCTACCACCGAACAAAACTTCAACAAAATGAAGAAATTTGTTATAGATGTGGTTCGCAACTTTCCTATATCCAGTACGCATGCGCGGGTGGGTGTTATGACATATGGACGGGGAACTGCAATTAATTTCTATTTGAACAACTATAGCGATCAAGAAAAGATCACAGAAGAGATAGACAAGATACAATATCCTGGAAGTGGAAGTCGGGACCTCGTAGACGGTGAGTGCTTAAATAAAACCAAACTTTTCCATTTTTTCCTTCCCAAGGTTTGCAATATTGTATGTCTTCGCACTTCGTTATTTGGCCTTAAATATTTGTATAAGTGGTTATTTTACATCAAATCTCGATCATAAGATTAAGATGATTTAATAATCAGGTTATACTGTTTTTTACTTGTAACATTGAAGGTTTGAGGCGTATTCGAACCGAGATGTTTTCCAATACTCGCGGAAATCGAGATGACGCCATCTACAAAAACGTCGGCGTTTTTATTACAACAGGATTGGCTGATGATGGCGACACATCCGACCAAGCTAATGAAGCATTACAGGCCGGTATAACACTGCTTCATGTGGACATTAGTGTTGGTAGGTACTTTGTTGATGACACCGTGCAAAGTGATTTGGACACTTGGCAGTATACATTTTAGCTTGAACTAGAAAATAAAGCACAATTTTGGGAATGTCAAATTACTTAGAAATGTAGTCAAATTTATGACACCAAAATACAACATTTCAAACTACAAGTTTGGCTCTCCAAGTATTTTTTCTCGTGACATCAGTGTGAATGCCCCTATTTATGTATAATATTAAAATTTAATCACTTCGAATAACCCATTCTCCCATTCTGTTCAGCCAAGCTACCCTATGGACACGGTATAATATGTTCAGAGTAAAATATCAAACAATTTACTTTTTGGACATTTGTTGAAATAGCAGTTCATATTGATAGAAAAAATGACAAATTAAAGTTTGAAATTATCAAAAAAGATATTTTGATAGGGAACCCAAGGCTGACTATCAATCCATTAGCGAAGAAACCTTTCTATAGATACATGTACAATGTGACTGGGTATGATGCCTTAAATACTATCGTAGCCTCATTAGCTGGTGAAATATGCAGTGCTTACCAAGGTGAGTTACAATTGTTGCAATCTTTGATCTTCTCAAAGACGTCTGATATCGGTCAATATGTTACAGTGTTATGCTTCATAATGCGAAAGATTCTCACAAAGACAACATCTTGAGTGGCACCATCTTTCTTATTTTCTTGTTCAAATTAGTTTGGTTTAAATGATTTGGTACCATGTATTTGTGCGTTTGTGTATGTGGAACTTCAGATGTACTTGGGTCACCAAAATATTCTGACTCCTACCAATATATTCTAATTTGCATTAGGTCCAAATACTTTAATTTGGTAGCGCAGAGCAGTTGAATTACCATATGCGTCAAATTAGAACACCATATTTAAACAGTACTTAACTGGTTATCTTATCTTGTATGTTATCCTGACAGGCTGCTCCACCACGGCCTACCACATTACCCCCTACAATAGGAACGGCATTGTCTCTCCAAGGGTGGGGCGACTGGCGGTTAACATGAACGGACAGTGGAACTCTGTATGTGACGATAGATGGGACAATAAAGAAGCGAGCATAGTTTGTAAATGCTTGTATCCTGGAGAAACGTAAGCAGGCACTAATTATTTGTCAAATGGAAAAATAAGTAAGAGAATTTGAAATGAGCATTTTAAAAGCACCACTACTCCTAAGAGCATTAAATGTCAGTTGTAAAATAATTTTAGTATTCAAGTAATTCGACTAAATCAATTTCACGAAGTCATAAATAGCATTAAGATACTAAACGATGGCCCAGCTCATTTCAATTAATTGACATTTTAGAGCAGACGAGTGGAAATTTCTTGCTTACAAATACCATGATCCAACTATTAATAATACTGAACTGGCTATTGGATTGGATGAGCTTAGTTGCACAGATAGTGACGTAGACATCCGGGGATGTAGTCACGTGGACAGTTTATCTCAGAACTGCAACCAAGACGAGGCTGCCGGTATAGATTGTAACGGAAATGACGCACACATTCCAGAAGGTAAGTACGGGTTTCTACGGATGTAGTACCACCCCCTGATAATAGCAGACATCCAAAGGACAGACTCATGACGTAGTAAATTTACGGTACTTATGATCCGTGTATGTTTTCTGACTCTTAACACTAATCTTAGGGTAATGCATAATGCTTTAGCAAATTGAACACTCGTTATTGGTGTTGCCCACCGTTTATGGTAAAGGGTATACAGGTTGAGCGTTTGGTAAAGGGTATACAGGTTGAGCGTTTATGGTAAAGGGTATACAGGTTGAGCGTTTATGGTAAAGGGTATACAGGTTGAGCGTTTATGGTAAAGGGTATACAGGCTGAGCGTTTATGGTAAAGGGTACACAGGTTGAGCTGTAAAGTGTCTGTCTGTTTATGTAGCAATAGTGTAGTATAACTCACATTTGTAAAAAGGAATTTTTATTTTGACAAATTAAGTTTACCCTTTATTGGGAAAGTTTCGGGATCTTCTATTAATCTATTAGTTAATGGAGAAATGCATTACATGCATACTCAAATCATTCGGTTGAATGAACAACATTGTTTTGTATTTGGATTACCTCGGTCAAGTATAAGCATGGTCTTATAAAATGTCCTGTAAATGAAACAAACCATTTTGGACTCATACATGCGATAAGCGTGAATATTAGTAAATCTATCTAAAGAATAAGTTATTGAAAAACAATATCAAAAAGTCATCTTGCTTTTTCAGTTCCAAACCCAGAAATTGTATGTAACTCTTCTGCGATGGAGGTGTGTTTCAATATCAATGACGTCATACCAAGTGTCATAGCGATGGTAAAACAATGCAGCAGTGTTGTTCGAATTGATAACGCAACCCACGCATGCTTCAAAGTCCCACTTGGGAAGTGCGACCCTTTTATGACAGTAGGTTTATTTACATGTGATCTAATAATATATAATTTAGTTTTTACGCATTATGTTAGCATTAATCACTAAGAAATGATGATTGCATTTTTACCGTTTCTTGTGAACAACTATGACATCTTTGTATCTTAATTCCCTGCTATTAAGCGATTGTAATAATTTACTAGAAAAATATAAGCCTGCAACCATGCATAGTTTTAATTTAGATTGAATCTTTTCTTCAAACAAGGATTTCATGATATAATTTATTCAACAGACGGATTCAGTAAGCAAGAGGTACTGCTACACTATTGGTCAAAGTTCTGACCAACCAGTGGGTTCGCCGATTCTTTTCGAACAATGGAACGTCACTTCCTGTTGTACAGTGGCTAAAAACGGAAGTGTCTCCCAGGGTTACGGTACATATATCGAAGAAAAAATATTCAACGTTTCTGCAAATTATTCGTTTGATATGAACTGTTATTTCAACAATACGTTCGAAGGGGACCCGATTCAGTTTCCAATTACTATTTTAACCGGCCAGGACATCTACTGCAAGGTTTGCGTCGAGAGTCAAGACAATTCGATAATGATTGTAGTTCCCGGATGTCAGTTACTAGGCACTGCAACAGGGCCACCAACTTACCCATTCTTGGCTGACAAGTTAGTAAATTTTTGAAATTTTAAATATTCGTTTGCAGACAGCATGCGTATCCAATTTTTTATATGCGTATATGCGTTCTGCGTCATATTGTAAGTTAGAATATTCCTACTAAACCGCTTGTTCTTGCGTTCCAGGTGCCCTATTTCCTCTGCATTGAACGTTGTTTATTATCCCATGGCAGAGACGTGCTGGGGCTTCAAGTTTAAGTCAATCAAGTTCCAAGGCTTTGACGAGCTTTTTGTTAATTGTGACACATACGCGTGTGATAGATTTCTTGATAGCAAAGACTATTGTGACAGAACGTGTCAAAGCTCTGGTTCACTTGGTCGGAAAAAACGAGATACTATTGAGCGCTTTAAAAGTGATGATGATCGTCGTTTGAAACGAGATGTTGATCAAGATGGCGATATCTTTACACCGTCTAGATTCGTTAGCTTAGAGAAGGGTCCTCTATATGTGAAAGATGATGGCCTTGGAAATATAATAAAAGCAGACCTCGATGGAATTCCTTTACAAATTACAGGAAGGGAGCTTACAGGTTAGACTAAATTACTTTTTTACCATTGAGTTATTTTTTCAAAAAATAGTATTATTGTATATAGTACATATGGCTACATAGGAATGAGAGGTCGTTAAAAAAATTAGCGCATAGATGGTTGCATATTCTCTAATGTTAGGAATTGTGACCATGATAACAAGCACGATGCAGTATGAAAAAACGAACTTACGAATTCTTAACGTAACGAAGGTTCTGTTAAAGACTAATGCTTCTAAATTGGTTAACGTATTCATTTGTAGAACAAGAAAGACTTGACTGGTTTGGTAAACAGAATATGTCTGATAAGGACAGCGATGGGCTTCAGCATAATACAGGTGATAACCATACTCCTCCTTTCCATAATTAATAAATGATGCAATAGAATCGTAATCCATTCGTATTAGAAAAATACGCTAAGAATATTTAATTGTTATGAATATAATTTTATCATGCATGCGACAAATGGATTATTTGTGATAAAGATGCACCTTTCATCATGAAATGAGTGATTCGTAATTTATTCCCTACCGTCATAACACCCCACCCATTAGTTTGAAACCGGAGTTCTCTGTTGGATCGCATTTTGGAGCCTTTATATTCGTCGATGCAAATGCATGAATTTCTTACACATTACTCCACAGATAACAGAAAACAATATTACTTATTGTTGAAACACATAATTAAAATAAATAAACGAGTATTCTTATTGATGGGAGTTCAGAACTCAATTGATCGCTATCTAGTTGCACAAATGATGCCATTACATACTTTCAGATAATCAAACAAGTAGATCAAGTACAGTGATTGGAAATGCTGTTCTGCTCTTTGGTGCACTACTATTGATATTACACATTTAGCGGAATGGAGGACAGATTAATGTACAATGTACGCGACCAAACTGAAAGCGTTTACAAAATGCCCCTTCAAAATGAGTAAAGGTATATGTGATCTTATCCACCGAACGCAGGGTTCCAGATGTGATCTAAATTATACTGTATTTAGTGACATTTGCATTGCTTAATTTATGGCGGATAATTTGTGGTCAATGGAGCTCGAGCTAGGTTGTGATTATAACATTTTTAGTGAGGAACAACTGAACAATTCAGTAGGTATGAATACAGAAACGTTTTTAATTTTTTTATATCCCATCCGGAATGTCTTATTAGGCATGTATACAGGGTGGACCAAATATGTTATGCATTCTAATTGTGCACTCAAATAATAAAGGTAACATTTTTGCCCACCGTGTAATTTGCTTTTCGCATAATTCAAAGATGTGCAGTCGTGATAAGGCCTATCAATATTGAGCTCTCGAACTCACGATGACGATACACATTGTAACATATATGTAGACTCAATGAATCATGTCAGTGTCATCAAGTTATGAGTAGGCTTATACTCCGTCCTAAAACCTGTAAATGTAAGTTTAAGAATCACCAAAAACAAATGTACACAAAACCGTCCAAAATGTAAACAAACCGGTCCAAGATATATTATTCAAACCGTCCAATTATTTTCAAAAATACGTTGTATATATAGAGCTTAGTTATGTAACAAAAAGTCCTGACAAACAGTCTTAACATTGTCAATGATTGGTATTGATATGGAGAACTGAATTCAGCAATGATTTTCTCTTAAATCAATTATTGAAAAATATCTGTAAAAAACACGGCCCTTTATGTAATGTTGACTGATTGACAATAATCTAATGCGAAAATAATTTATATATATTTTATATAACTATTTTTGTTAACTTTTTTGTTTGTTTTTTAGTACAAGTGTTTTTTGTTCCTTTTTACCATTTCTTGAGAATGAAATAAAATATCTTTCCGAAGCTTGTTTGAACAAAATAGCATATACAACATTTTCTTAGACTTCCCAATATTAAAGTTGTACAAAGGAGGTTTTGGTTGATTTAACAAAAAGTATTCAAAAAATTAAAACAAAAAAAACGAAATGGATAAAAACTAAGATAAACCTTTAATTTCATCAACATTATACTTTTTTTAAATCAACCAAACTTTCCTTTGTATAATTACAATATTGAGAGACATAAACACGTTGTGTTTATATCATTTTGTTCCAATGAGGTTCGGATAGATGTTTCATTTCATTCCGAACATATGATACCAAGAACAAAAGAAGTGTCCGATGTGTTTTCTAAAACAATATAGAGAAAGGTATATATATCTATTTCAAATTATTGTGTTACCATTCAAAAGATGACCATGCACGACAATGTGTAAAATTTTCAGAATTTTTTGATGACTGGTTTAAGAGAAACGTGTGTTCAAAAAGTTCGCCATATCGATACCCATCCTTTGTAATTTTTGTGTAACCAGGTAGAAGATGTATTTAGTTTTTCTATACATGTAATTTAGTCAGTAGCATGATCTATAGATGGCCGTTACCGTATCTTACCAAAGAACGGGTAGTCAACTATGATCTCGATTCTCGATGTTTATACATGTATTTCAATTGATTTTTGAGCTACTATAGACTTTATGATTCGTTTGTAATGTGAGAACACCAAGATCATATTAACTCTGTTGCCGCAATCGGTTTATACTGTAATGAGGTAGTAGAGTGCATGGTACGTTTACCGAAGGAAAGTGTTGTAAGTGTATGGTTATACCACTAAAATGTTATTCAAACATGATAAAATGGATTGCTTTATAAAGCCATTTTAGAAGTTTATTTTATATATTAGTACTGGATTTGTTTCGTTCCGTTAAATGTGTTAGAATAAAGAATTTGTAATATTACTGGGCTTCATTACGATGTTGAATAATAGTTACATGTAGCGTAGCGACACAGGAATACTTTGGTGACATATATATGGTATCTCGATGGCAAATCATTGGTAAATGGTGAATGTTCCCAGTTGAAGTCAATTGGCGAAGAATACAAGTTCGTCGAGTCTCAACAAGTAGATTCTTAAACAGGATATCGGGCTTGCTTTTTAGTACCTTTTGTTGGTACTATGAATACTACTTCAGCAAAACAACATCAATAAGGTGACCTGAGAACTCATCCCCGGAGATATCGAGTAAACAGCTGATTTCACTATTTCAGTTTTAGCCCATGACACCAGTATTAGACCAGCCAGGCGGCTTTTGAAAGAGGTATTTAAGGGAGATTACCACAAAACAACAACTTAAATGTTTTTCTATGAATTTGTCAAAAAAAAAATTGTATATTAGTATTCAATTGTAATGTCATATGAGAAATACAATAACGTGTTTATAAACATCGATTTAACATACTTACGATGTCTACATATTGTGTTAGTTATTTATTAATTAAAAAAACTGAAATAACATTGCATAAAGTAGACCTAAAATAAGCATCGCTTGCTCTTGTCCAGGTGGTCATCGGACGAAGCGGAAATTAAGCTCATTGGACAATCTGATGGATGACATTGGATTACTTGGATGAGCACTCTTCAATTAATCATTGATATTGTTTGGTTTAAAACATCTCATATTTACAGGAAACTAATTAATTCACTAAAACTGATCGATTTTGTACTGACTTGGGGTCAACATGACCGGTGAGTCGAATGAGAATGATGTCAGAAAGACTTGCAGATATGTCAAGCGTTTGATCTAAAAGTGAGGCAAAACATGACTAAATGCTCGTCTATTCTATGAACTGTTGATTATTCTTAATTAGGTCAAGAATGGACAATCTTGCATATCTTGTATTATTTTGCGAGTACTGTAATCTAACATGAAATTCGAAATTTGTGAACAATACTTTGCACATATCGTCCCATTATTTCCACATTGTTATAACTCACTCTTTGCAGGTCTTAAGATAAGTATACTATCTTTCTCAATTTATCACGAGGAATTCATTTCTGAGGACCATTTTAATGGATCTCATCTCCTTTTGGAGATATCCAGTGCCACATTATTATAAGGGCAAAATGAGGAAAAAACTTTAGGCCCACCTTGTCATATCCGCAGCAGAGCCAATCAGATTACATAATTTTGATCATGTGACTTATAGCTATGATCAGGTGGCTAATAGTTATAACAATGCGGAAATAATGGGACAATCACTTACTAGTATACTTTGTAGGTAATTAACAAAGGAGATCATAAATCATGACACTGTGTACATGTAGTACAAACAAAAGAAAGCAGATTTGCACATTATTTGTAAATAAAATAAAAGTTCATTCAGTGAACTTAATCAATTAGTGACCTGTTATACATTTACCAGTCAAAATGGAACATGAGTAATATTCTGTATAATTAGATGGACAGACTAATGGTATACGGACAAAAACAAAATGGAAGTGATTAAAAATTCAGTTTTCAAGGTTATTTTGTTATTTCAAAAACAAGAAACCATAAAAAGAGATGTGTTATATTAATTGTCCATCAGTTATTTTTGCTCTGCAAGGCTTACATATATACATGATTACCAAAACGAAAAAAGAAGTTTCTAAAAATTACTACTTAGAGTCAGAAGTTATGAAGCCCCGAGTCTTCAACCTCTAATTTCTCAATATCAGCAAAAATGCAATTATGGCAATGTGGAAATATGGGGACGATATGGCGTTCATGATCAACTATGAAACGCTTACTCCCATGGTACTATATATCAAAATGTACCTGTTCATTTTGGGGTTCGATTGATCTAAATCAAATTATGTGGACTCGGGTTACTTTAAGATATCAGCGTCCATTAATTGTAACTCGTATTTGCTACCTTTTGGTCACTTCGGAGATGACGGGTACATGTCGACGTTGGAACTATTTTTTACATACATCGCTATTTTCGTTATTAAATGAACTCTTCTACTTTATTTTGATACCAAATAATGGCATAATTTGTACCCTAGAAGCAAACCATGGCGTTATTTAGAACAAGTTTAACTGTACTAGATGGGGCGGATGGATATTGAACCTTACACCTTTGCACAACTAACTTATAAAAACTTCAACTTTGACAACAATGACATATATTGTTGAAAATGCCTGGGATGGGTACGCATGACAATAAAGCTCCATTGTAATGACACCACAGCTAGTTCAGGTGAAAACGTATGGTAATAGTAATAATTGTTACTGTTTGTTGTTGTTTATAACTCATCTGGTACGTGTGACTTTTTCCCTTGTGTTAAGATGGCTGTTAGTTAGCTGTTAAAGGCCATAAAGGATTGAGTTGATCAAGGGTTGAGACGACTTGGGTTCAAGTTGACTAAGGGTTGAGATGACTTGGGGTTAACTTGACTAAGGGTTGACTTGACTTGGGGTCGAGTTGACTAAGGGGTGAGTTGACTTGGGGTCGAGTTGACTAAGGGGTGAGTTGACTTGGGGTCGAGTTGACTAAGGGGTGAGTTGACTTGGGGTCGAGTTGACTAAGGGGTGAGTTGACTTGGGGCCGAGTTGACTAAGGGGTGAGTTGACTTGGGTTGAGTTGACTTGGGGTTGAGTTGACCAGCAAGCAATATAACGATGTGATATAAATAAGGTTGCAGAATATCTTAATATCATATTTATGGTACAATACCATTATTTCTTCTTGATTTCTTGATTGAAATGGCATCACGTGTTTATCTAGTATAAAGATCATCTTTAAACCTAGTTCAAGTATTTTGTTTCATTTATCTTTTTTTTATCTATGCTCATACGAAATAACTAATCACTGGGAAATGGTTCGCGAATAAGTGCAAACGTTAAATATTTAAGTAAAATATTGCCTTTTCGTGTACATTACTTTTTGATTACATCATTGTAAGATCTCATTAAGATTATCTAGTACTAAGTAAGTTCGTGTATCGAAGACTGTCAATAAACAGCACACTATTCTCGAACCTCATTTCATTTCATAATAGCATGTGCATACCCACTTTTGCAGATCCCCCGTTGATTTGCATCACATTTATACCATATCATATTATATGTCTTAGCTTATAATGCTCTTTGAGCCTAGCCAAATTGTATTGTATTGTGCTAACAAATTAATATCATAATATACCGTATAATATGGCATTTTTTTATTAATGATTTATTTCCATGTATAACAAACATATAACATACACATGTCTGAGGCTTTTCAGAACTGCATTAAAAGCCACGAGATGATATAGCATCATATCATGTTTCATATTCTCATCATATATCATATCATGTATTTATCTATCTAAAAACTCAAAACTGTCATCTGACATGTTCCAATGTCTGGTTATATTCATCTCATCTTCATATTCATCACTGGAATTTGTTTTGCTTACAAATAATTTTTATTTATTACATAAATGAATTTTATCATGTTTTATTATATTTTTCATTCCTAGACAACGCCGTTAAACGGCAGTAAACCGTATCAATAATTAACTGAAATATCGGGAACAAAAAACCTGTGAAGAAAAACACGAAGATTAACAGTAATATATTGCATTTGATACAAAGTTAAATGTCGTTATAAAAACTATCATAGTGTATTATTTGGAATGTATTTACACACTGTAGTAATTATATATTATTATTACCACCTTGCCGGGCCAGTTCTAGGGGTTTTAGTGCTAGTTTAGAAGGCATTCATTTTACTATATCGACCTGAGTAGTATGTGACCTCAAAGTGGAGGTCAATATTGCCGGTCAAGAATGTAATTAATGACCGGCAATTTCCCCGGGAAATTAGATATCGTTCAGTGCGTAAGATGTTCTTGCTGTTTCAGTCGTGGTCATTAATGGTGGTGATAATACAAATAACGTTATTTCTTCGCCCCTCGGTCCAATATTTCACTATATTGCCTTTCAAAATGACGTAATTGTACTATCAATTACGCTACACGTTTCTTGGCTATCGTTAGGCATCCAGGATGTCAATCCTCAGGCAAGTTGAAACTTTTGAATGATATATAAGTGAAACGTGCAACTTGTTTTTGGACGTATTTTTCTTAAGACATTATCATTATGAATGCATTTTCTAGATTATTTTCTTTTATTTATATATATTATCTTATTTGTTACATGGTCAAATATGTTTATATACCAATAAATGGAATGATTTTGCTTCGTTTTTTTAACATGCAAAATGCAGTATAATGATATAAAATAAGCAGATATGATTGGCTATAAACAAATTGTATATACCACATGATAACATCGGCTTTATATGATTGGCTGCATGGTTGTCCCATATTCTTGGCTAGTGTTATTAATATAACCATTTGCATATGCATCGTTGGCATATCATCTAGGCATCATGAGGGGAGCAACACTTTACGAACAGTTGTGGTTAATCACAATACTGATAATTTGTATTCTACAAGCGTTCGATTGTGGTAAGCCTGTAGGGTGTAGCAGTTGTACAAAAAAGAAGAACAGTCGTGGTAAATTGTTGAATCTTGGTACAGGACGGGTAACGTTTTCCGCGATAATGGATTCCAATGCTGATGCTATTCACCGAGAGCCAAAAGAGAATTTGGCGAAGGTTTGGAAGAGCATTGATCGAGATGTAAGGACCGATGAAGACGTCATTCAGAAAGGTGATATACGTTCTGATCTGTCGACGTCTTATTTTCTAACAATTTCTATAGTCGATCTTGCATTATTTAGCCGATTAAATCAAAGCAATTGCTTCAATATACAAAATTAGTTCGAACCCAATTAAGGAAAACATTTTGTTATATAAAGTACAACGTGTATTATTACAAATGTTAAAGGTCCATGTGCAGTATGGCAAGTGATTTTAGACAGCCATATCTTTCACCATGAGTACTTTCTGGATATAAATACAGTGGTTTTTTTTATCAAAACAATATGTTTTCTTCAAAGTGAAGTCCTCTTCAAAACTAGACTTTCAATACCATTCTACTTTTAAAAATATTTTAGACCCCTTGTTGAACAATCTCTTCATGCAATAAAAATTACAAAAATAATATCATCTTTTGAGCAAATAAGTTTAACATTTTGAAATTTTTTTGACTATTTATATTTTTTTCGAATTGTTCGAGTGATATTTTTTATCATCATGGGGACTTCAATTTGAAATAAAACATATTATTTTAATGAACACCACTGTATTTATGCCCAGAAAATACTCATTGTGATAGATATGACCGTCTAAAATCACTTACTGCACGTGGAGCTTTTCATGAAGTTTTGTTTTCTAGTTTTAAGGTCAGACTTGGCTTTGGAATTTGTTTACAATTTTTAAAAGTAGACTTCTTAATATTTTGATTGATAATCTAGGTACACTATGCATCTGTTGTGCAAAAATGAATGATTTAGACCACGCGTGGAATGAGTTATGTTTATCTGAAAAAAGCACATGGTCATGAAATTCCCCAAAAATTACAGACGACCCTTAAATCAAAACAACCGAGAAAAAATTATTGCATCACAAATCCATTTGGAATAGAGGAATTCCATCAGTCACGTGTTTGCCTTATACGTACTACTGTAATTGCAAAGTATAGCAAAAATGCTCATTCCTAATTCATTTAGATAGATTTAGTTTTCGATACGAATGAATTACAAGACTTTATAACTGAAGCAATTGATATGTTTAAATATATATATCATTGTTAACAATTCATCCCGTAGACGATGGAGTCACGTTTTCAACAAATTGGTCATCGCGACGAGGACTTGTATTCTTGGAAATCGCCCCGAGTGATTTTAATGTACTGTACATGAGTTGAAAATAACTTGTTGTTCTAATGTAAAACGAGAAATACTTGGTCCAAAAATACCCCAGTCAAATGACGCTGTCCAAAATTGTTTGCAATAGTATACTGGGTCATTAATAATTGGTTTTAATTTGTAGGGAGAGAATTCATTGCATATGTCAAAGATAGGTTCGATGTCGATATGACTATAATAACTGATGAACAGTTGCAGCTTGGTTTATATGTACACTTTGGGAATTTGACGTTCATGGGGTTCGTTATTGATTTTGACCTTCGAGTCGTTACAGAAACAACACCACTACAACACGTCACCCATTACCGGAACACAAAATACATATCAACTGGATATGTTATTGTTGCAAACAAGAATACAATACTCGAAGGTGGTAAGTTATTTTAATAGGCCATATTCTCCCCTTCAATGCCGGTATAAAATTAGATAATACAAGGGGCATCTTATAAAGTTTAAGATGCTGAATTTGATGTTTTAATGTCTGTAACATAAACGCTGTTGCTAGGGGTTATAGTTTCCCTGGCAACCATATTTTTTGCCTAGTGATTGGCCTAAAATATATTTATGATCATATGTTTCAATATTTTTGGTAATTTATATTGTTTAACACCTTGAATTCTGAAATATTGCATATCCACTGATTAGATAATATTCAGAAACGTTACAAAGAGAATGATCAAGGAACTTAGAGGCTCGCGGTAAAACTATGCAATCTAAAATGAAATATCTAATACTCAGGCTGTGCTATTACATAATAACATTTATTATTTCTCCGAGTGATAATCAGCATTCGAATGGTCAGTCATGTATCATGTGACTTAAAATACCGCAGGGTATTTCATTTATCTGTAAATCATATATATGAAGGGTGTATTTTTTCAAAAATGAATACAGGTAACGAATGTGACGTTGACTATTGGAATGTAGAAAATATACCAATGGAAAGATAAACGTGTCTTCGCATCGATAGACTGGAATATTTGGTAATCCAAGGGATACACCCTCAGAAATTCAAATACAGGTATTGCACTCAATAAAATTCAATATTTGTTATATATTCCATGGTTACGGTCAATACAGAAAATGTACCGCATTCTTTAATTTTTTCTCGTGTATTTATATTTCAGGTAAATATACAGGATTCATGGCGAAGAATTCGGCAATATATACAGAAACAGCTATGATAGACAGTAATGAATGCGATTTTGAGGAAGAGCCCCACATTCTCATAACGCGCACACTCGACGCTCATCCCGCCAATTTCTATGACGGCAAATATACTGAGGTCAATACATGGGAAGGAGAAGTATGGTCTAGCAAGTACGGACACGGATTGCAATACGGCATTGATATGCACCCAATGTATGTCATGACTATCGTGAATGTATTTCCTAAATAAAAACGATTTACCATTTTACTCAAAAGTTACCATAAAATTATATTATGGTTGAAGTAATGAAACATAATAGCAGTTTGATAAAGATGTTATTTCAATCCCGATCCAAAACCATGTTAACATGAGGACTTCGATGCTGATTTGTATGACTGTATGATCTTAAAAAGTCTGGCTCTTGTTTATAAGTATTTGTATTTGGAACTTGGACATATGTTAGTCTTCTTTTAATCATTTGTTTAAACTCCTGGGTAGTAGAATTTGCAATAATAAAAATAAATAGTAAAATAATATTTATCTAGTACGTTCGTGTGTGGTAAACAAGCAATAACCAACGAAAAACTATAAAATGCTAGGTATCTAATATGTTGATTTGTATAATGCGAAACGACATTACAAGTTAAGACGTAAAGACAGAAATAAAGTATGGTCATAACCCTATCCAACATGAACTTCTCCTGATCTCCGTTTTAATGTTATTCTGAAGTAAATCATTGTTTTGGAATTGTTAGCATGGGGCCTGTCTAATAGGTATCCCAACATATAATCTGAAGAGAATAGGTCTTGAGAATATGCAGGCCATGTGTGGTAAGTATCTTACGATGGAAGATGAAACTATCTCACAATGCCTGGATTTGAAGATTTTGTAAATGAGATGTACCCTTCCGAGTTAAAAAAGACCAATGAATCAAACATAAATGCGCCTTATCTTGACCTTCTCATTAACATTGAACAAGACAACAATATACATTGTAAGTTGTATGATAAACGAGATGATTTCAACTTTGATATTGTGAATTTTCCCCATTTAGACAGTAATATTCCATTTAACCCAGCATATGGGGTCTATGTATCCCAGCTTATTAGATATGGCAGGGCATGCTCTAAATATTTAGATTTTAAGTCAAGACACAATATTTTAGTGATCAAACTGCTAGGTCAAGGTTATACTTGTATAAAGCTTAAGAAATACTTTCTGGGCTTTGCTGAAAAATACAAATCATTAATTTCAAAGTTTCAAGTTTTACCACTTGAGATGCTGAAGGATGTAGGAATCGTTTAAGACATTGGCACTGAACTCACAATATTTTCACTTTTCACCTTTCGAGGTGGATCCCGGCTATGGCATTAATGAAAAATAGGGATCGAAACCAGTCATAGTTTTCTCCTGATGACCATTGTGAATTATTGTGTTTTATGGATTATGGCGAAGGCTTTTGTGAATGGATGTTGACCCTTTGAAACGCCTATGGACTTGGACACTGGATTTTATCTATCCCGCATCATTTGAGACTGATTGCTGTATCTTGTATGAGTGCTTGTATCTGCAACTATTTTTGAGGTTATGAGTATTGGCTATCAATTTCTAATTTTTTCTTCAACATGTATTGTAATGACTTCAGCATGAATGAAATTTCCCTTGGTCTTCTGGTCTTGGATTGTGATATTGGTTCTTGAATGGTGGGGGAAAGGGAATATTAGACATTGTTTCTTTTCACGTTAGATCATGGTTTTGGGCTATATCATGTATGGGGTTTGTTTTTCTTTACTGGTATGCACTTAAAGATTGCCTTTTCTTGCTATGTTCCATTACAACGTTTGGTCCTTTCCCTTTGGCACTCGTGCTTATATATTCGAGAGAAGTAACATTAGCATTTGAACAGGGCAATGTTGCTCAATCATTCTGATGGATGAGATTATCGATTTCAACTCACTACTTTCACCTCGGTGTCAGGATGAATTTTCGTCTCACTAGTTCAATGTATAGCTCCATCAGTTCATGTTCACAGATAATGAACTTCTCACACCTATTCTAAGACCTATTCCCTTTAGATTCTTTTTGGGGATACCTTTAAGACAAAGCTTAGACAAAGAATGTGAGGAAAGTGCTAAGAGGATTATGCAATAATACACCAATATCTGAATTTTTATTGAAATCATATCTATCCAGGTAAGTTGCTGTTTGAGAAGCAACTGGTGGTCATACCAACTACTAAGAATCAGCTGTAAATCTGTAATATTATATGATATAACGCTGAAATTTCTCAGGTAACTCCAGAATTAAATTGTCTTTAAGATGAGATATGGCACACTATGTAATATTAAGTACTTTTTGCCGTGGAGGGGAGTGCCGTTGTTTTTTGACATCCTTTACTTAAGAAAATCACTAAAACAGAGATCGGGAGATGTTCATGTTGGGGAGGGTTATTACGTACCATGGCCAACTCAAGTGTTTCGATATCCACAGTGATTTAGCACCACTAAAGCAGCTTGAATCAATCTCATCACACCTTGGAATTTCCTTAACACGTCCTAAAAGTGGTAGACTTCCAGTTGTAGACTTCCATATAAAAAGTATCCTTAAATTACAGTGATCAATCCATCTATCATTTATACAAAAACATCCTTGATCACTTCAGATTGCTCGATGAAACGATTAAGCTGAAAATGTGTAAACAAGATTTGACACAAGATGTTGGACGGAAAATCCAATATGACTGCTTTAAAATCTACCAAAATAATCAGTTGTAACTTATGATATAAAGAAACGTCCATCAGAATCGCAGATCAATCAATCAAACTATTTTGTTTGAAATATGTAGACAAATCATAACATGATGATATTTTTTCATAAAATATTTCTTCAAGAAATTCAATTGAAGGCTCAAGATAAAACGAGCTAATTTAGGTGAAAACCCTTACATGATGATGTGTTTTCATGACTTCTTTCATAAAATTCCATCAAGGGGTGAAAATAAAATGATCGAATTTAAGTGATTTAAGGACCACGAGGATAGGTTTTCTTGGATATTTTCTATGAAATCCCATCCAGTGGTCAAGGTAAAATTTTTATTTGGTATATTTGGTCACGTGTTCGAACCCATAGAACCATATAGGAACGTCATTTTGAATGTTACGTGATAAATCCATATAAGGCTTTTAGAACAATGTGGGGAAAGATGAGGGGAAACCCCTGACACCTGTTCACGATTTTATCCGAACGTTCATCGGATCATTTCGGTTTTTATGCACTTCATTATTTTACCGAAGTTTGCCGATTCGATTCGTCGTATTTCGGAATATTGGGGACAATTTTATACTCCATTGGGAGTATTTTTAATCTACTTCTTATTACGAAGATTCCCGAACCTTGTTCGGATTAATCCGGATTTTCTGACCTACTTCATCTACCGAGATTTAACGAGTTTACATTCGGCTCATTTCGGAATCCTGGTGACAATTTTATACTCCATTGGAGTATTTTTGATCTACTTCTCTGGATTTTTGATCTACTTCTTATGACGAAGATTCCCGAATCAGTTCGGATTAATCCGGATTTTCTGACCTACTTTATCTACCGAGATTTAACGAGTTAACATTCGTCTCATTTCGGAATCCTGGTGACAATTTTATACTCCATTGGAGTATTTTTGATCTACTTTTTCTGGATTTTGCCCTACTTATTATAAGTTGACAGCAAGCAAATCAAAAAGTTCGCCATGAACGGGTTTCGATCGACTAACCTAGAGAGCGGAAGCTAAACACGCTAGCCATGAGGCTAACGTTCACCTGTGTGAGATGATAAAAGTATCATATATTTATACCGAGCGTCAATTTAGAATGATCTTCGCTTTTGACTCCACTTAGATACAACTCGTCAGTTGTATCCAGAATAGGTGAACGCCTATGGTGTTAGTGAATAACCAAATCCCAGGCAAGTTCGTATCCCACCGTGATATGTTATTTTTGCTTTATTAATACGACAGAAAGGAGCAAGGTGTAGGTTTGAAAACAAGACGTACGTTTATTTCAATACAGTTGTAGAAACATTAACCTCTGATAATTGAAGGATTTCCACTTCTGAAGCGCGACTAGATCTAAGAAGTTCATTAATCAAGACAGTGTAAACCTTTTAGATATATGTTAGACAATGTACACGCCCCGTGTGGAATCAACTAAATGTTACATTTTGGATTTCATTGAGATCCTGTCATAGTCCTAAAATTTATTTTTCTGGAACATCATTTTTTCAACACTGATACAAATTTCCCTGACATTTCCATGACATGTCTACAGTTTCAAAATTCCCGGACTCTTTGGCCCTTTTTGACCTTATTTTAAAAATTCTCTGACATTTCAGGCACTTGGAAAATTAAATCAAAACCCTGACATTTCCAGGTGTGTACGAACGCTGGAATTATTCTTAAAATATCCTTCAAACAAAAGGGGAAAATGCTATGCACAAATACTCTAATTTAGTTTGTATTGTAATGCGTTGTATTACATTGCATTGCATTGTATTGTGTATTTATTTGAGTGTCCGTTGACGGTAAAGAAGGCATTTAAAAGTTATTTGTGAAACTTAATAAACTTAATAAACAATACTTTAACAGTATTCTGTTATGGCAAAGTATATTTCATTTTTTCTCTTGTTCTCTACAATCTGCGTTGAGGACACTGAAGCATATGTCTGTATTTTGTTGGTGGGGAACAGCGTATCCTATCGTTCACGGAGCAAATTCAACTCTCGTTCACGAGTACCTTGTTTTTGGGCTCTTGTCCCAAAGATAACGATTGTATAAGTTTGCATAATCAGGATTATGAGCTTTCATGTTCTCATAGTTACATCTGTTGTAAAACGAATCTTGTCGCAACCTCTGCGAATCACGACAGCATAACATTTGAATCACGTTGACATCATTGCAAAATTAGGCTAAATATGCTAAGTCAAGACGTTAATTAGCCCACGAAAGTTCATGGGTAACTTGAGAACTACAAAAACAACCAAATACTTTTCGAACGTACAATAGCAATATTTCTCACCTAACGTCTTCATAGTTTTAGGAACGTATTTTAAACGCATGATAGCCAAATATATCAAGATACTATATCTGCCTAAATGAAGTTATCTAGTGTTTACAAAGTTTTGAAATATATTATATCCAGATACATCAGAAATTAACTTATCCATTTACATTACTTTACTAGTTCTAGTATCTTGCATG